TGTGTGTGTGTGTGTGTGTGTGTGTGTTGGTGGAAAGAAAGCTCACCTCTTTCCCAGCCCAGCGGTGGATAGAGCCTTGGCCTGCAGACTGAAGGGTCGCAGGTTCAGTTATAGTCAAGAGCACATGCCTTGAATGTGAGTTAAATCCCTGGCCCTGGTCGAGGTACTTGTAAGAGGCAGACAACTGATTGATGTGTCTCTCTTAGATTGATGTTTTTCTCTCTCCCTCTTCCTCTTCCTCTCTCTTTCCATCTCCCTCTCCCTCTATCTCTCTCTGAAAAATCAATGAAGCCCAATGGCTCAGAGGTTGAGCATTGACTTATGAACCAGGAGGTCACAGTTCAATTCCCAGTCAGGGCACATGCCTGGATTTCAGGCTCCATCCTCAGTGTGTGGCGTGCAGAAGGCAGCCAATCAATGATTCTCTCCCATAGATGTTTATAAATTTCTCTCTCTCCCTCTCCCTTCCTCTCTGAAATCAATAAAAATATATTTAATTTTTAAAAATCAATGGAAAAATACCCTAATGTGAAAGTCTACTTTTATGGGAAACTATAACTTTTCAAAGCAATTATTATTAACTTGATATAATTAATTTTCTCTAGCTTAACAATTTAGAATTTCTAGATTTATTTGTGAATTGAACTTTATAATACAATTATTATAAATTTATTTATCGATGATTTGCCTCTGTTGCCTTGATAATTGGTTGAGAAATGGGCAACCATTACATAGATCTGGGTGTCTTCTATTACCTCCAGTGACCATAGGTAAAGTTTTCAGCTCCCTACTTGTTCCCTTCTCTGATCTATCTTAACAAATCCTTAACACTTCATGCTACCTATTAGCTTGCAAGGACTCCCAGCACCTAACATCTAGGGAAGACATTCATACTCATCAGTTTCTATCTTTTGATCCTAATATTTTATTTTGGCATATGCACTATTTCTCAATTTTAACACTATAGAAATTTTGAGTGGATAATTCTCTGCTGTATAAGGTAAATCTTTGTATTTTAGGACATTTAACAGTATCACTGGCCTCTATTCGCTTGATCCAGTAGCATCCCAAAGGTGTGGCAACCAAAAATGCATCTAGAAATTGCTAGATGTCTCAGAGGGGACCAAAATTGCTCCTAGTCAAAAACAACTAACAGGGAGAAACCAAGATGGTGGGCTAGAGTTCATCACCACCAAACCAGTATTATATGAAATGCTAAAAGCTATTCTTTAAGAAGAGGAAGAAGAAGAAAAAAGATAAAAATTATGATCAACAAATATATATATCAACAAGTGAATCTAAAAATCTGAGGAACAGAATAAACTGGTGAATATAATAGAATCAGGGACAAAGAAAGGGAGTGGATTGATAATTATCAGGGGGGAAGGGGTATGGGGTGCAGGAAGAGACTGGATTAAAATTGTACATATATGGATGAGGACAATGGGGGTGGGTAGGTACGGGCAGAGGGTGGGGTGGGAACTGGGTGGAAGGGAGCTGTGGGGGGGGGGGAGAAACAATTGTAATAATCTGAGCAATAAAGATTTATTAAATTTGGAATAAACAAATAAATAAATAAAACAACTAACATGGTGTGATTCATAAGCATGGGCTTTCTGCACTAACCACCCTCTGTCACACATTTGCATCTGAACTGTTGATTTGATTTCAAGTCCTTAAGACTAGACTGGTGGTTCTCATGTGTACACACTGGGACCAGAAACCATCTAAAATTTATTAAGGTCAGGACTCATCTCTAGGAATTGGGTGTGGAAGTGGGCCCAAGCCATTTCCCCCCCTCAGGTAATTTTAATGTGTGGAGAGGGTTTATTGTTCTCCTTTAGTGCCATGCGCCAAGAGTTGTGATGCCTCTCACATCACTTCATGAAGAAAACAGCCTATTTGGAAAGCATCCTCAAGTAGGTCCACAGATCTGGCAAGGCCTTTCCTATGCTTTTATAAAGGGACTATAAAGGTATTTAGGGGTCAGCCTTGAGGTCTACATTTATTTATTTTCTGGTTACTAACAAGTGTCATCAGGAATATGATTGGCTTAGGTTTTATAAAAATAGGTAATGTGCTCTTCTAGTTCTTCTAGGTAATTATATTCCTACTTGACAAGGAAAACACTTTTAAGTCTTAAAAATAAAAGTTTAAAACAATTAAAATTAGCTCTGAATTAGCCTTAAATGGAAGGGAGAAACATAGTTTAAATAAAATTAAATTAAAATTACACTGGTACGTATGTTTGTTGTGTCTGCATGTGTGCTTGTCGCGTATGTCATAGATCATAGCCATCAGTGATCAGCAAATTTGTATATTAAGCTAGAGATGATAATTTCACTATGGAGAGCTCATAAAAGAGGATTAGAATTTGGGAAAGTCTAAACATGGCCATTTCTATTCTATTTATCTCAATAAATATTTTGATATACCAGGGCACTTAATTAATATAGGATTGTTGTCTGTTCAGCATAATTTTCTTTCTTCCTCTCAGAAATGGTACTTGCTTTCCTTTTCAACACATACCCTAACTCCCACATCACTGTGGATTATCAAACACATTGTTCTATCCTCACCTCCAGTCATAGGCATGGGTGTATAATACAAGCTGGACTAGACATAATATGGAAGTACCTTCAACAAAATGTATGATAAAAATTGTACCAGTTATAATACTCCCCTGAAATTTTCAGCATTGGAGGTTGAAATATAGCTCTCAATTCCTCTTGCAGCTTCACACACACACACACACACACACACACACACACACACACACATACACACATCAGCAACCATCCTTAATGGTACATGGAAATACCTATGTGCATTAGAGAAAGTGAGACCAGCAGATGGGATGAAGGAGTTAGTAATGGCATCTTTTTAGACATACTTTAGATAACAAAGAATGTTCTTCAAGAAGGGAAACTACTTGGCTCTAACTTTGCACATTTCATGTATATAACTAGTGTCTCTAAATGTCAATAATAAGAACTGCAAGTGAAAAATTGTTTTTGCTTTTTTTGTTGTTGTTACTGTCTGTATGAAAGAAAAGTAATTCAAACCAAAGCCTCCTGGAATAAAATGAAAGTTTATTTTCATTGTGAGTGGAAAGGTAGGTGATAGCAGTCCGTTTTTTGTTTTTTTTCGCTATGATTTTTAATATACCATTATGGTGTGTCTATTTGAATGGAAATGGAATCAGAGATGTTTTAGATGTCAACACTAACAACAAAAATGAGTAGGAACGTCCTTTGTGTCACACCAGATTTTAAATAATTAGAATCGCAATGGCATAGGACAGCTACTTGAAGGGACCTTAGAGGTTATCTTGTACTTTGAATCTCAACCTTATGGGTGGTCGAGGAGGGGGCACACACCTTTGTAGAGAAAAGCTAAGGTGAATAACATATGACATATCATTTACTTATGTAATAATTTAAATACTGACATTTTCAATGGTTGGATTAATTTCTTATGGACCAGAATAGATTAAATTCAATTCAACTTTCAAATGTTGAGTTGAAAGTTCAACATTTCCATTACTGGCTGGCTGTTGGTCCCATATTCCCCCAAATTGGAGCACTTCTCTGTGTTACAAATCAAACAGAAGTGTCTATCCCATCACGAGGACCCAAAAGAAACATAAGATTCTCTTGTAAACGGGGGATTGTAGATAGCTACATCCCATACCTGAGTCTTTATAACACACACCATCAGAGCATAAGATGGCCGAGGCCCTGCTCCTAACATGGAACACAGCTTCAGCCCACTTTGAGTTCCTTTTGAGGTCTCCAGCTGCAGGTGCTATTTCTCCCAGAGCAACCATCTCCCTGACCAGTGAAATATATCTAAAAGAGAAAGTTTCTGCTTTCTCTATAACCCACTAGCTTCTCTTCAACCTCTGGTGCACTATCCTCATTAGAGAAATCACATCTTCTTTTGTATATGCCACATAGCTGTGAATCAGAGTCTCCAAACAGTAAGCACTGATTGTGTTGCTCATTAATTAGAGGAGCTTTATGTCCTAACCATGCTAACAATGAGAAAGAAAAAAGATCACGGAGAAAAAGAATTTTTAAATGTAACCACACTCAGATAAGCAGTATAGCAGAGTGAAGAATTTCAGTGTTGGCAGCTTAAAATCTTTTGAATCTCAACAATTACGTGTGCTTAAATGAAAGGAAAATCTTATATTAGGAAGGACAATGTGTACAGTGGATAGTTGGCTTGTTAAAACTCTTGGAAATGTGGTAAAACCAGTAAACTTTAGCTTTTAGGTATAAAATTTTGCATTAATAGCTGTTTCAAATGTCACCAACACAAATGATTTGTGTAAGTATGATAACACCTTTAAAAGTGGGTACCTCATTAAAATTAGCCCAGCACGTCCTCAGCCAGCTTACCACCTATTTTATAGGTTTGTTCAAATGATTTTCACTGGAAATTGTTATGCATCAGAAAAAGAACATGCATGAGAATACCTAAATGAATCATTAGCAATAGCATTCTTGGTTCAAAGTATCAGACCCATTCTCTATAAATAAAATACATTCATTGGCAATTTGTATGTGTAAATATATGTGATTTTAATTAGCTTTAAGTTAAAATAAAGTAATCATACTTGACTAATTTTGCTTTATATAAAAATTCACTTGAATCAGTGTTGTTTTAAATAAAATTAAATAACTTTTCAAGGTTCAAAAGCATCATGTTATCCAAATAGGATAATCCTCTTTTCCTCCAAACAAAATGGTCTCTATACTAGAAATTTCATTCCTATTAGGATCTATTTGTCTCCTTTTCCATATTATGAGTAAATGTCAATCAGCCACTTGGTATATTTCCATGTAGGGAGGAAGTGGAAATTCACTGCCACTCCCCTTCCAAATACATAGGTGCTCTCCTGGTGCAGAGACGATTTGAAGAAAGAGCAATCACAGGCTTGAACAGGTGAGGATGGGGAAGAAATTGGCGAGGAATCAGCCTTTCTCTTGCACAGCTGTGCTGATCCTTAGGCGCTTAGTGAAATTGAGACCAAGACATATTTTTCTTCCCTCTGTGGCTGGCTGAATGCATTAGGGGCCATTCCAATGTCTGAAAAGAGGACAGACCAATTGCTGCAAGCCCACACCTGACTTTCAGATCTCAGTACACAGAACTCCCCTGGTCATCTGTATTGGAGACCATGATATCTGATGGTTCATTTTTTTAAAATTGGAAATATCTGGATTTCCTAAAATGCTAGGACAGTTTATAGATGAAATATCAAGTTATTTAATCAAATATAATATATTTATTTTTTTGCTTATATTGTCCTATTTTTAAAAACACACACAAATATTAGAGGTTTAAAGAGGAGAGAATGCCAGTTTCACATTGTATGTGCTGACACTCTTGGCAGAATCAGTGGCTTTGACTTTTAGATTCTAGGACATGAGCTCCAGTGCCACCCTGCCTCGTCCACAGCATGGTTCTGCCATGCCCTGGCCTGGGAGCTTACCTCTCCTAGCTCCAGTGCCCTCCTCTGTAAAATGAGGATCATATTGGTAACTATCTCAGGACCGAGACTAACATTAAAGAAGAGGACGTAGGTTAAGAAGGTGACGTAGGCAAAGTGCTAAGGACTGTTCCTGGTAGATGTTGAATACTCAAAAAAGTCCTTATGAGCATTTCTATACATTGCTATTACAGTACTACTTCCTTGCAGCTGTCTATAAACACCTTTGTCCACCTCAAGATCCATGATTGACATTCTGTTCATTATTTGTAAGAAAAACTAAAGGACAGGAGCCTTGAAAAATAGTATCAATTGCTTGAAAACATGATGGTTAGTCCACTAATGAAGGAATTGTTTAAGATTTCCCACTTTTCGGTAACTATAACAACTCTAGTTGGGATTTAGTAATAGCTCCTGTGTGAACTTTCTCATTATATGCCATTTTGGCTTGTAATTTAAGCTGTTTGTGTCAGCAACATGCCTGACATAGTGTGACAACTTGGACATCCCAGTGTTGGTTTTCTTTAGGTTGGAAGTGTGGCAGAGACTCCCAAACTACCACCAATAATGGCCCCTCCCTCCACATTGCAGAGCTGGCTCTCTAGAAATTCTCCAGACTACTTCACTTCTAAATCAAGCAAAGTAACAAGTTCCTACAAATGGAGTGTGAGTGCCTGAATGTGTCAGTTCCAGGATGAGCTGAGGACACTTGCTACTTCTCCTGTCTCTTCCCTGGCAATAGGTACAGGGGACTTAGGCTCAGAGGATGCAGTCCTACCAGTACAAGATAGAAGAAGTTATATCTTTGAATCATTGCCTGGAGAGCTACCCACTGACAAGGAATGCTTACGCTGGCAGGTTGTGTAGCAATTAATAACCTTCTATTGTTTTGAACCACTGAGATTTTGCAGTTTTGTAATATTGGTTCATGCTCCAGTAACTGATATAAAAAGCAACAGAGTTATCCCTATGATTCACTGTTGTTTCAAATATCTGCAAACTCTCTTTTGAGATTGCTATTAGGGCTTCTCACTACTGGCAAATTTTCACTGTTTTTACTTAGAATTACATTTTTAGAGGTGGCCAAAAGCCACACAAAGTCTTGGTATAAAAAGTTTAAGTATAGACATTCTCAATGTGTTATTAGAAATCAGTTTCAGTAATTCCAGAAAACGAACCTCTTAATAAAATAACTTCTTATCATAAAGTGAAGGACTTTATATATCATGTAGAATCTCAGCATGTCAAACCACACTATTGGTCAGCAGACCTGGTTTCTGACTCCGCTTCGCTGCTTAACTTTAAACCACAATCTAAATTTTAACTTCAAAGAGCAAGTAGATGACAATTATGGGCCTTGTATTGAAACATTTTTATAAAAATCTTAAACATTTAAATAAATGCCAGGCTTAGCTTTGAATGGTAAGTAAAATATCCATATGGCAGTGTTTTCAAACATTCTACTTGCTGCAATGAATGATGGTATTATTTCCTAGATATATTCAAATTGTTCTTTGTAAAAATAGTTCTATTTAAAATTCTAATGTCACCTTCCAGTGAGCTATATCACATCATCAGATGAATAATATTGGAATATAGAATTGTGTAATATTTATATTAGCCTGCAGGTTATCAGCAAGCCCAAAACAGCTGGAAAGCAAAGTTTAAAGGATTTTTGATGTGAACACATTCGTCTGTGGAGAAGGACCTGTTGGCAGAAAGAGTTTATAGCTATCTGGCTTCTCCATTCTAATTTCTGCTTTGCCACTACCTTCCCCATGACTCTCCTCAGTTCCAGGATCCATAGTTGGGTCTTAAGAGTGTGGGACCCATGCAGATATTTCTTAAAGACCCCTATTTAAATATATGTTACAAATATCCTACCTAATAAAAGAGTAATATGCAAATTAACCATCATTCCGCTCAAGCCAAGCCCACTAGTCACGCCCACAGCCAATCAGAGTGAGTATGCAAATTTACCCCAACCAAGATGGCTGCAGCCACAGAGAGCGGTTGAGAGGCTTGGGTTTTCTCAGCAATGGAAGCCAAGCTTTCTACACACCCTAGCCAGCCTAGGCCTCCACTCAAGGATACAAAGTTTCAATTATAGAAGATAAATTCCAAGAAAAATGGCTGCAGCCATGGGGAAAGCAGGAGGCATGGCTTTGCTCCAGGTTACAAAGTTTCAATTGTAGAAGGTAAATAAATTCCAGATACCAGGGTCTCTGCTTGGGTCGCTGGCCTGCAAACCACTGCAGGCCCCTCACCCAAGCCACCCCACACCCCAAGGGATCCCCAACCCTGATCTGGGACATCCTTCAGGGCAAACCAGCTGGCCCCCACCCATGCACCAAACCTCTATCCTATCTAATAAAAGAGTAATGTACAGATTGACCATCACTCCAACACAATATGGCTGCCCTCATGTGGTCAAAGATCCTGCTCCCATGTGGACACAAGATGGCCACCACAAGATGTCCAGCAGGGGAGGGCAATTGAGAGGCACCAGGCCTGCAAGGGGGGGCAGTTGAAAGGGACCAAATCTGCAAGGGAGAGCAGTTGGAGGTGATCAACCCTTATTGGGGAGGGAAGTTAGAGGTGGCTAGGCTGGCAGAGGAGGGAAGTTGGGGCATACAGGCTGGCAGAGGGGCAGTTAGACATCAATCAGGCTGGCATGGGAGTGGTTAGGGGGTGATCAGGCTGGTAGGCAGAAGCAGTAAAGGGCAATTAGGAAGGCAGGCAGGTGAACAATTGGGAGCCAGCAGTCCTGGATTGTGAGAAGGATGTTCAACTGCCCCTTTAGACCTGATCCTGGGCAGTTTAAGATCCCTCAAGGGGTCCCAGATTGGAGAGGGAGGGTGCAGGCTGGGCTGAGAAACATCCCCCACCCCGTGTACGATTTTCATGCACCAGGCTTCTAAAATATATATATATTATATATAATATATAATTAATATATAATATATAATAAATATATAATAAATATATAATATATAATTAATATATAATATATAATTAATATATAATAAATATATATTATATAATATATAATATATTATACATTATATATTATACATTATATAATATATATTATATATTATATATTATATATTATATATTATATATTATATATTATATATTATATATTATATATTATATATTATATATTATATATATATTATAATTATAAAATTATAAAATATATATTAAAATTTATACATAAAATTATAAAATATAATATATTATAATTATATAATTATAAAATATTTATATTATATATGATATATTATATATATATATATATATATATTTTTTTTTTTAACTTAGAATATAGTGCCAGAAAGTAAGGAAATGCTCAAAAAATAGTGATGGAAATTATATCAAGGGGACACATGTGACAACTGAAAGAGTTCCCAATGGCCAAAAATGGAACATCTTGAGAAATAAAATAAACAAATATTGGATTATAACCCCCAAAATACATATACACTGAGTGACCAGATTATTATGATCTCTGAACGCATAATAATCTGGCCACTCAGTGTACTTCTCTTGAGTACCTCATTTATTTGATATCAAAGGTACTATAAATTGTGCACTGACTGATAGAAAGCTCAGGGCAAATAGGTAGTTGATCTCCAGCAAAAGTCTAGAATACTTTTTGCTGCCCATTTGAGATACAAACACACTGTCTGGCCAGATTATTATGTGTTCAGAGATCATAATAATCTGGTCACTCAGTGTATATTTATGTATAAAATAAATATCCTTGAGTCCATGTTGCAATAAGGATTAAAGAATAAATAAATGGAGACTATGCCAACCTCACATCCAGAAGAGCTGCAAAGAATTTACACAGAGAGTCCACCCTCAAGAAAGTGGAACACAGTCTCCCACTTCCTGATGGTGGGCTGGTTATAGTGACTTCCTTCCACAGAGTACAGAATGGCGATGGGGAAAAAATAGTAAGTTCATAGTGCAGAATCCTGAAAACGCCACTTCAGCCAGCTGATCGAGGTCAACATCAACAGTGCTAAGAAATATTACCATGATCTGATGAGAATAGCACTTTACCTTTGTGGTCTTCTTTCTCAAGATCCATGACCCCAGTCTATCCATGACACATATGTGAGACAAGTCTAAATTGAGGGACATTCTACAAAATTACTGGCTAATACTCCTCAAAACTGTCAAGGTCATGAAAAACAAAGGAAATCTGAGAAACTTACAGCCAACAGAAGAGTAAAGAAATGTGATGACTGAATATAATATGGTACATGTGGTGGAACCCAGAACATAAAAATTGGATTTTAGATAAAAATTTAAAAAATCTGAATAAAGCATGACATTAGTTAATTATGAATCATTCAATAACAGTTCATTAATTTAAATACATGTATCATACAAATATAAGATGTTAAAAGGGAAAGTGGGTGTGGAGTATGTAAAAACTCACTGTATTATCTCTATAATTTTTCTGCAAATCTAAAACTGTTCTAATAGAACACACTTATTTTTTTAAAAAATTGCTA